TTTCCTAGATGATGCTGATGGAGCAAAATCAATGGGTGTAAAATCAAAAATATAATACATAGGCTAATACTGCCCTGGTTAAATGGTTTGTTTTATAATCACAGGTCAAGCTAAAACAACTAAAGGATGAAAATGTGTAATTTCATGAAGTATATTTTAAATCTTGCTCCCAAAAGTTATTTTTAGTAGACTTAAATGGTTAGATAATCCTCACATGTATAGCTTCAGCACATAAAACGTTGCTTCCACATTTATAATCTCAGCCCTCCTGAAGCACGTTTGACAGACATTTGCCTCCTTCTTACCTGAGCTCCAGGTTCCGGGGCGTCCATCCTCCTCTCCCTGCAGGTCCCAGTCAGTAAAAGCTCAGGCGCAAAGAAGCGTGGCTGCGTTAAATCCCGTCAGGCGCAGCGGAGAACCAGTGACCACACGGCGGACACGTGATCACAGGCTCATCCTTCAGATGCTCGCTCATCATTAGTGTTCAAAAAGAAAGAAAAGAAAACGATGAAGACGTGATGCTGCCTTGCTGTCTGCAGCTGATGTCCAAAGCAGAGAAGCTGGGATGAAATCCGGCTGCAAAAATAAAAACCTGGGTTTTATGAAAGTTATATAAGTAGCCTTTATCTGCCCGGGTTTTATTCTTAGACTCTGACTCATCCACACAAACTGTGCACTGACTCTCCTCCAAATCTGTTGCTCTTCTCTGCATTTATCATAAACACATCATCCGAAGACAACATAAAGAAGAAATGCCTCTAAATCTGAAATTTTGGACAGGTAAATCTCTGGGAGATTATTCTCTCAGAGCTTATAGGCTGCAAGAGATGCTGAGCTAAAGTTTGGGTTGCTTGTATTTGATTGTCATCCCAAACAAAACCACCATCAGATCAGATCGAGCGAGAAACTTTGGCATTAACTGTTCTGTCTGTTAGCAAATTATCCCAAGAACAACTTGATGCATTTTGATGAAACCTCTCAGCAAATACTTACTGGATGTGCATTTACAACTCATTAGCTTTTGAAGTCAAGTCAATTGAAAATGGCCACTATGTCTAACTGATTTTAGTAAGCCCAATAATGGTTGTAATTTAGTTAAATTTACAAATACCGAGCCAAAACTTGGCGTGATAGTAGCCAAGACTGATTCACATTACATTACTTGAGCACCAACAGATCATACAAGAGCTTTGTTTAAAACTTTGGCATTTAAGGCAGTGGGCAACAAGCATTTCAAGGAAAGTTAGTTCCATTAATTTCTGTATGTTAGGCTGAACGACACGACTGAATAAGCTGAAGGAGAGACGTGCAGAAAGAGTTGAAAAAGTGAGATAAACTTTTATATATACAGCGGGTAAAATAAGTATTGAACACGTAAACATTTTTCTCAGTAAATATATTACTAGAGGTGCTAATGACACGAAATGTTCACCAGATGTTGGTAACAACCCAAGGATCCATACATACAAAGAAATCAAACATAAATGWCCAGAATTGAAGTTATTTGTAATAATGTGGAATGGCACAGGGAAAAAGTATTGAACACACTTACTGCAATTTATCTAATACTTTGTACAAAAGCCTTTGTTGTCAATGACAGCTTCAAGACGCCTCCTGTATGGAGAAACTAGTGGCATGCATTGCTCAGGTGTGATTTTGGCCCATTCTTCCACACAAACAGTCTTCAAATCTTGAAGGTTTYGTGGACCTCTTCTATGAACTCTGATCTTTAGTTCTTTCCATAGATTTTCTGTTGGATTCAGGTCAGGTGATTGGCTGGGCCATTCCGCAGCTTTAGTTTCTTTCTCTGAAACCAACTGAGAGTTTCCTTGRCTTTGTGTTTGGGCTCATTGTCTTGCTGAAATGTCCAGCCACGTTTCATCTTCATCATCCTGGTAGATGGAAGCAGATTTTTATCAAGAATGTCTCTGTACATTTTTCCACTCATCCTTCCTTCAATTATTGGAAGTTTGCCAGTACCATATGCTGAAAAACAGCCCCACACCATGATGTTCCCACCTCCAAACTTCACTGTTGGTATGGTGTTTTTGGGCTGATGTGCAGTGCCATTTGACCTCCAAACATGATGTGTATTCTGGCATCCAAACAGTTCAGTTTTGGTCTCATCTGACCAGACTATATTCTCCCAGTATTACACAGGCTTGTTTAAATGTTGCGCAGCAAACTTTAAAGGAGCTTCAACATGCTGTTTCTTCAGCAGTGGAGTCTTGCGTGGTGAGCGTGCATACAGGCCATGGTGGTTCAGTGCATTACTTATTGTTTTCTTTGAAACAAACGTACCTGCTAATTCCAGGTCTTTCTGAAGCTCTCCACAAGTGGTCCTTGGCTCTTGGACAACTCTTCTGATAATTCTTTTCTCTCCTCTGTCAGAAATCTTGCGAGGAGCACCTGGTCGTGGTCGGTTTATGGTGAAATGATGTTCTTTCCACTTCTGAATTATGGCCCCAACAGTGCTCACTGGAACCTTCAGAAGTTTAGACATTCTTCTGTAACCGATGCCATCATTATGCTTTGCAACAATAAGGTTGTGAAGGTCTTGAGAGAGCTCTTTACTTTTACCCATCATCAGATGATTCTTGTGTGATACCTGGCCATCACTTGGGACTGAACCAGCTGATATTAACTTGCACTGACAAGGGGCAGGCTTGCTTTCTAATTACTGAGAGAGTTCAGCTGGTGTCTTGGCTTTCTGTGCCTTTTTACACCTCCCTTTCTTCATGTGTTCAATACTTTTTCCCTGTGCCATTCCACATTATTACAAATAACTTCATTTCTGGACATTTATGGTTTGATTTCTTTGTATGTATGGATCACTTGGGTTGTTACCGACATCTGGTGAAAATTTCTTGTCATTAGCACCTCTAGTAATATATTTACTGAGAAAAATGGTGACATGTTCAATACTTATTTTGTATGTATATCATTTTAAGTAAGTTTGAGTGGAAGAGTTGACTGAGCTCATTGTTTTATTTTCTCCTAAATGAGTTTGGAACCTGTTAATCAGGTTGCACCATCAATAGATTGATTGACATAGATGAACATGACAACAGCTGATGTGTTCTTGTGTGTGTTCTTACAGGCAGATGTTCTGCAGCTGTGGCCCCTCAACACCATCAGGTACACTCTCCTCCTCTTGCAACTGTTGTGCCAAACATATTAAACAAACTTATATCCAAAGGACTAAATAATGAGCAATTTACTAATACTTAATATTAAAGCTCAAATTATTGGAGCAGGGACCCTCAAAAATGTAACAGAACAACTCAGAAGAATATTTAAAAAACACCAAGAGTGGACAAAAAGCCTAAAAATTTACTCAAAAGTTTGAGGAAAAAACACAAACTCAAACCAAAAATAATATGAGTGCATGTAAAACAGTTGTTTAAAAGATAACTGACAGATGATTAAAATCAGCTACAAGATAACTGTAAGACATTTAGATGACAAAGAAACTCAAAATGAACTGAAGTTCAAATAAAAATTCATTCAAACTTATCAAGACGCGAACTCAAAATGACCCAAAAAGCCTAACAAATTCCACAAGACTCTGAATTCCTCTAAAGAACAAAATAACTCTGTGAAAACCACTTTATTAAATCTATAAACATCAATTATAAAAGCTGTACAAAATGTAAACAGACAAAATAGTTTCAAACTAACTTCAAAAGGCTGCAAAAAGACACAAAACGGTATCAAAAATAATCAGTAAAACTTCTCAAATTTACTACAAAAAATACATTTAAAAGTAAAAACAATATGTTTGAGTTGTGCCATTCTTATCCAAATCATTTTATAATTAACAGCAAAGATGAAAACAGGTCTCATCTGCTGAAAAAACAGTTTCTGTGCTGCTGATGGGACCAGCAGGAATCCTGAAGCTGACACAGACAGTGCAGCGTCGCCATCTGCTGTCAATCAGAATCCAGAGGAGAACCTCAGAATGGAGCTCAGACACGAACAGCAGCGTTGATGGGATCATCAGAGTATTTTGATTTGAATGTGTTCTCTGCCTCTTGGAGCTGCTGACTGGAGGATCAGTTGTCGCCATCTGCTGTTTGTCTGTGGGAAGTGTTGCAGCCGAGGCTTGGGGCTGAAGCTGCGGCTGAACGCCACACCTCTCCCCTGACAGCTGCGAGCCTTTTCCTCACGCTGCATCCCAATGAGCTGCACATTCAGCTGATTATGCATCACTTTTATATATAAACATATATGCATCTTTTATTTTCCATCAACTTCGTGCGCAATAACTTTGCGAAGGACGCCATGTAAACCTGCAGTGGTTAAGCTTAAATTGGACAAGTTTAAATAAGAAAAACTGAAATTCACAGCTTAAATGAAACTAACTTTAGGTTTATGTCTTCTGTGAGTTTGTTGGAATGTTTTGCACCTTATTTTTTTACACAATCAAGACTTTTATTTTGTCACTTCCTTTAGCTGTTAAATAATAAATTTGTCATTTTCACGCAGTTTTTTTGTCCAGTGCGCACATCCTTAATGTGATGCGCGCGCCCTGATCTGTAAACTGGGTGGGCTTTGGCCAAATGTTGCAGCAATAATTCATATTGTTGAGTCAGAATTAAAAAAAAATATACAGGTTGTAAAATTGCTGACCATTATATTTGATTCTTATTTTTATTCTGTATTTTGTTCAAGTTTTCTTGAACTGCGGGGCAGCCCCACTCCTGTGGGGGAGCGGGAGGGCCTGCCGAGTGGGGGGCACAGTGTCGCTCAGTTGATGTTTGTGTTTATTATTTTGTTTAAGTCATTTTTAAGTGCTGATAAAACCCCAAATAATTCCATCGCAATATATTTACTGGGATTATTTTTACTCATTGCTGTAAAATCAAACTGTTCGGGTCCAATCACACAATCCTGCTGTAAAAACTCAGAATTGATTTTAAAAAATGACCCCAAATGATGAAAAAAAAAGGGGAAACCCCTATCCCAAACAAGTGTTAAAAATAAAATTGAATGAAACGTGCAACTCATGACGTTATTTATTAAGTTTCAGTCACATTACAGCAAATACAAAGATTTCCACAGCAGCATTGCACGCAGGCTATGAAACAAAAAAAAAAGAAAACGACTGAATTAAATCAGAAAAAGGAAAAAAAAGACCCTAAATCTACAACAATTAGAACTCCTTTAACCATTTAAACTTTTAGTAGCCTACAGGTTTCATAAAGTACAAAATACACGTTTTTTATTATATCACTGACAAAGAAAATTATTATTATCATCATCGTTATTATTATTATTATGCCAGTATATGCTACACAAGAAGACCATGTCATGTACAGAATCCTAAATATCTTTAGTTCCTAACAGAGGCTACTGTCAAACACTACTGGTTTGATTTCATGGGGTTTTGTACAACCAGACACCGTCACAAATACTAAATAATATGTACAATATGTTCATAATTACAGAGACTCAACAGTGTGGGGAGAGCTTCCACTTTGGCCTTTGATGGATGAGACTTTACATCTTTATGGGTGGACAGGTGGGTAAAGATGGGGTTTAACTGTGAGGGTAGAAGCTGTAATAACCAATGTCCTTCGTGCAGTTTTTCTCGCACTCTCTCGGTGCCAGCAGCTCGGATTTTAACGGAGACACGGACTCTGAGACCGGCGTGGCCGACGGGGAGATCCGCCTCCGCTTGGCCTGTTCAAAGATCCCCGAGTCGCTCGAATCGATCGACTTGATCGACGACGGCGTCTCGATCCAGCTCGACTCGGACGTGATGTCTTTGGGTTTGGCCTCCTCCGAGCCTCCGATCGGTGACCTCTCCGTGGCGATGGAGTCCCCCTCCTCCGACAGGTAGTTGGTGGTCGCTCTGCCGCCGATGGAGTTGGCGGGCCAGCAGGAAAAGACCGAGGCGGACTTGGTGTTGACGCCGCAGTACTGCGGCGGCGTGCGTCCTCCCCAGCCAGACGGGTCTGCGTAATAGCCAAGAGGCCGGTTGGAGCAGCCCGCTGTGGGCAGGGGGAGAGCCTTCACTCCGGCCGCTGCGTAGGACAGCAAGGTGGCCGCGTTACCGGCGAAATCGGCGGCGTCGTATGCCGAGGCTGCGAAGTCCAGTCGGTTGTTGGCAGGGGTGACAAACCATCGCTGCGGGGGGGTGGCAACAGTGGGCTCCTCGCTTTGCTGCGGGGATAGCAAGCTGTTGCCGAGTGGGACGCTGCGCTCCGTGCCAGGACCAGTCCCCACGCCAGGGTGAAAGCGAGATTTGGCATAAGTGCTGACAAATTGGTCCTGCAGGAAGGAGCTGGGCATGGCGTATCTCGCACCCGGCACGATCTGTGAACGCGGAGAGTCACCCGGTGATGGAGTTAGGCGGTCAATGTCGCAGCCTGTGTACACACTGAAGAGATGGTGGGGGGGAGAGGAAAAACAGGGAAACAATTCAAGGCTTCAGCGTGCGCAATGGTGTCTTCTCAAAAAAAATAAATAAATAAAAACAGACAGTAAATATAAAATATGTTGTCCCCACTACATTTATTTAAAAATAAATCAACTTTCTGGATGTGAGACATCTGCGTAAAATGTCTTTTTCAGAAGCAGTTTCATTGTGACGCAATGTTGAAAAATGCTCTAAAATTTAAAAACATCATGTGAATCAAAACAAATATATATTTTCGTGTTTTCCTTTTGTGTTTTTATCTGTAAAACTGTTTTGTTTATCTATTTATTTTTTTGACTCTGATGCCCTCAGGGCGCAAATTCAACTAAAGAAGCAACAGTTCCTTCAGTTCCATCAAATATGGAT